TTCAAAACAGCAGGCGTATGGGAGGAAAAAGGGTGTCAAGTTGGAATGGGGGGCTTGGGTTTGTGGGTGGTCAACCAAGTCCGCCGGCATGTTCCATAAACGTTCTACGATTGCAACCAAGGATTGTTCTTTACCTTACACTTACAACGTACACTATATTAACCTGCAGGACGGACCACGCGTTGGCGAGGCCGATCATGGAGCCTTTGTACTTTGTTTGTATTGAGCCGGCTCCCCCTTTCCCCGTCGTTTCTTTTCTTCTTTTCTTCCTTTCTTTTTTAAGTGCCGGTTGTTTATTAAGGGCGCACGTGGAAAGCGGACAGCAGACAGCATAATGCGCTATGCACAAGCTTTGTCAAAAACAGTTAGAAAGCCCCGAGGTGACCTCGTGTCGATGCTCAAAGCGAATGCCCTAAGGAAGGAACGGTGCCAGTACTTGTACAAGTACAACGTAATTAGCGCCGCTTTGGTACTTCGGCATGAGAATGATGAGATGAATCCCTCCCTGTTGGCACGTAGGGTCTGGTCCACACCACCCTCATCCCTTTTCCCTGTCCCCTGTCATGATCGACAGATCCCCAACACGTCTTATCCGATTCTGGCAGTTTACCCCGGTGGTCGATCTCTCTAGTGTCATCCAATGAGGACCGGCGGTTAATTTGGATGGGGTGTCGGCCCAGAAAAGACAAAATGTCGCCACGGCTTGTAGGGTAGAGTTCCGGCAGCACTGAGGTACAAAAAGCCGAGGCGTCCATTCTGATTACAACGTACAACGTACCTACAGTTGTCCGTTGTCCGTTGGTGACAGGCACGCCGGAAGAATTAGAGAACTTTGTTAATTACTAACCAAGCGAACAACCTTAAATTACTTGGTAACGGTATGTTTAATAGTCTAAAAAAAAGAAAGGAAGGTCCTGTACCAGAGTGTGTCTCTACTTAAGGCGTGTATACAAATTAGGTGTGGGACTTAGGTAGCTTATCATGCTTGGCAAGACCCACCGTTTTACTAGCAGAATAAGGTAGTCATCTGTACGTGTACTGGCTCCCTACCTTACGTGTGTGTAGTAAGGCCCCTATTACATCGTCAAAGCAGCAACATGTCCTGTGGCGTGGACGGACTCTCTAAATTGTCTCGCCACGCAACGCCAAACGACTAAGAAACGACACCGTTTCAGAGGTCTCACCCCAGGCCATGATCGCCGTTACAACGGAGTAGCGCCAGCAAGATGACGCAAAGAACGTTACTGTCAATCCCGGATCGACGCGACAGAGCCAGTGGGAATGTCTTGGGTGGGGTTTTCGTTGGTCTTCCAGATTGATTTGCGACCGGCACTCAATCGACCGATGCATCACGGGGGATCAAAAATGGACGTCAAAGCTCACAATGTCGGGAGCCGATTACTAAGGGAAGTGACTTGGCTGCGTTGTCCAGCGCCAAGACGTTGCATTGGTCGCGTGAATGATACGCCCCCTGTGTGTACACGTACATAATAATGAGTCGTGTGGTGTTTCCAATAAGACAGCACACACCCCGGAGTTTTGCCCGCGATTTCCAAGTCTTAGTCGCTGAGCCACCGAAGCCACGCTCAAGCCACTAACGATCCGATTCGACCGCCGTCACGAAAGAATCGGCAGAAATAAGTGTGTGGTGGCTTCGAGCGGTCGGCCCCAAAAACGTACGTTTTGATGCCAAGGGTCGCAAACTTGGCACATCGTTGGCGTGCATCGAGTCGAATGATGGCGAGCGTTGGCTGAGAGCCCGAAGGGACTCTAGGCCACCCAAGATGTGGCTGCGAGCCAGCATCTAATTATGCCAAGGGGTTGCCCAGCAGTCCGGTTCTGTGGTCATCAATCAGAACCAAAAGAAAGAATGAAGGGGGTGGGAGTTGGTAACAACACAGACAGTTGGGAGCAACCCAATGCAGCAACCCAAGGTAGTAGCATGCCTGATAAGTGTACGGCGCAATGGCTACATGTAGCGTAGTGCACCTATATCAGATGCTGAGTTAAGGGGCGTAAAAGGTAGGATACAACGTCCAGTAGAAGCGACAGTCCAAGATGCCCCGAAGTACCACCGCGCTCTACTAGTACTTAACCAGGGAACGATACGTCGCTACGGCAAGGCCGATCATTCGCGAGCCGGGTGGACGAAGATAGCGGTTGGGAACTTGTATTTTCTCCATGTCTTCCTCGGGTACATATGTGTCCAAGTTCGTATGCCTTCTCCTTGGCTGTTCCAAATGCGGCAAGCTTTTGCGCAGGAGGACAAGGTAGAGTAGGGATTTTATTACTGTTGAGATGTATGCTGTTTTATCCATCCGCATCCGCACGCAATACTTGCCACGGCTATTTTGGCGAAGGATTCGTTCCTGGGTTATTTGTTGCGTGGTTGCCTGCAGGCACCACCTGTTAACGGGTATGTCTGGCCTCCACAGCTACTCTTTTGGGCTGGGATATTCTTCCTTCTACATATACACACACACGATATATGTGCTTGTCACGCATTATTAACTAAGCACCAGCAAGAACCAAAGCGGCAAGACCAAGGCCTTAAATCCTAACGCCGCCGGTTCAAATCCCGAGACCGCTCTCCACTTCCAAGCACTGAGTGCATACAGGTGGCTTTTTACCTTCAGGCGTTCTGGGACGGTTGAGCAACTTGAGCGACTCTATGTACTGCGTACCGAGATGACCGGGACCGTCTAATGTACAAAATGCTACGTATAAGGTAGCGGGATCCATGGTCAGATTTGTACCTAGCTATCGTCTTTTTCAAGAGCATGAACAGGTAATTACCTTATTATCCTTGGGGCAGAAGAAGCTTAACGCTTAACCGAACAGTCGGATACCTAAGCCTTCCTTCGGACAAACCGACACCGAGACTGTCAGCCACACTGAAGATAATACCGCCATTAAGCCATTAAGCCATTAAGCCATTAAGCCATTAAGCCATTAAGCCATTAAGCCATTAAGCCATTAAACCATTAAGCCACTAAAAGAGTGGATCACCTTTCACCGGTCCGTCTTATCTACCTCCTGTCTACTTCGCTTAAGAACAAGGAACTTTTGATGGTCCCAGATGTTATTCACTCTTATTATGAGACTCAGGCCGAATTTTTAGTTTTACTTCTTAACACCCCAATAATACTTCGTCCGTGACCACATCAGAGAAACGAAACACTTAACAGCATTGACCGCCATAAGATCATCAACTCGTCAACTTTTCGAGACTCAAACTAAAACGTTTGGCTCGGGACTTGCTTCATAGAGACGTGACTGTGACGGAGCATCCCCCCCTCCCCCCCCTGATCTGCCTAAGCGGAGACGACGGAGCCGACACCCTGGCGACGATCTGCCCCGGATCCAGCCAATCCCAGATACTATGAGTCGAGGTGGACGGAAAGATCCGTCGGAATGCCAAGCAGCATGGGGCATTATGACATGGTTGACCCATGATATGATGCCTCGCTTTCTGGTTATTCGTTTCTTGGTCAGCAGCAAAATGGCACGATACGAATCTCCTCAATCTCCCTACAGTTCAAAGCCCTTCCTTTCAGAAATACGGAGCATGTAATTTTACGATGTTCCCATAAAACCTTACCTAGGTAATAAAAGGTAGAAGAAAAAAACCCCTATAGGAATCGTAGAGTTGAATGTGCGGGGATCAAGAGAGATTACGCCACCAACAACAATTCAGCTCTCGTCAAGGACTAAGACAAACATTTAAGCGAGTGTGTTCTGGGCCTGAAACCGGCCCGTGGTTTTCTAGACTTTCTGTCCCGGGATTTGCCCCCTCCCCCATATGTACGTTGCACCCGTCGATCACTTTCCCATGATGTCCTGTCAACTTTTCCCGAAGGCAGGAAAAAAGGCAAGGGTGGTGGTGTCAGGAGGACTTTGCGCACCGACCAGCCCCCCCTTTTTAGCACACGAGCCACAGGGTGGCAAGCGAGCTTCGAGTCGCTGCGCGGTGGGCACGGCAGTTGGTTTGATTGGAGTTTATTGAAGGCCCATTGATTGGGCTGTCGATCGTAAATCGTCAGTCGTTTCCCTCGTGTGAGGAAGTCCTGATTGATCACCGCGCGACCGCCGCACTGCGTCGTGTCATGCCTTTTGCTCAATTCGTTCATGCGAACATGGGAGAGAATCCACCCAAGAAGAGCCGCGTTTCTTATGCATGTACGTTGCATCAAGCGTGCGACTCTTATTGAAAGAGATACCAGGGCTCATGGGATCCGGAACACAGGTTTAAGGTCCGCCCGTTCCTCTTATTCACCGCCAAGGATGAAACCGTTTCGGCAGTCTGTGAGAGTTTCGGAGAAGTGCCGCTGATAATGTGATATAATGTTCCCGAAAAAAAGAAGAAAGAAAAAATCAAGGGGGAAAAAATCAATTCCCGGAACCGAGTCCGGAACATTGATAACACGAGCAGAGATATGGGCCCCAGTGGTGCCGACTGAGGTTACATAGTTTGGGTAGAATGGGCGGCCCTGATGCACCAAATACCGTCCAAGCGGTGATCGTTTAGGTCGCAGCACCACGGCGCCTAAGAAGGCCGAATCAAACATGAGAAATGTCAGAGCCGAGCCCTATAAATGCCGTATTATAGGGTTGGGGTTTCGAACGTACAACGTATGCTGGCGGCGGTGCTACAGCGCAACCTCCATAGCACAACCAATGTGACACAGATACAGATAATATATGTGCATACACATGAGATGATAAGGGACCCAAAAAGCCGGTTGAGCTTTGGTCTACCCCAGGACGAAAGTGTCGTCCGAATAGTTGGGATGATACCCATTGTATCACGACAGCGCTGCCACGGCTACGGATGGATACATTGACTTGCATCTCCCGGCATGAGGACGTCCTGACGCTTCCGGTCGCAGGGCAAGGCTGAACGGGGTTAGAATGAAGCTTGGGGTGTCACTAGTTGTCGACGGTGTCAGCTTCATCTGAGCTTTTTGCTTCATATGCTCATAGTAGGGGATGATATATAGGACGTATGGTGTACCGGCTTTATACGAACCGTTCTCCGTGCAGCCGCCGAATACTTTGCTTCACCATTGCTTCATATTTTTTAACTCTCATTAATCATTCATGTATTCATCATTATTTATTTATATTTATATTATATTTATATTTATATTCATATCCATATAATTCTTTTCATTTAATTCTTTTTTAATATATTTCAAGTGGCAGATGGCACGGATAGAGTGAGGGCAAGGAGTGGGAATAACGGAAGACTAGGGGTAACAGCAGGATAGGAAAAGAAAGGAAAGAAAAGAAAAAAGTTAAAGGGGGGGGGTGAACCCAGGGTTGCGGATGGGGACGAGGTCCTAATCTAGTAACAGTGACCCGAGGGGTTGCTCGTGCATTAGCGGGCGGCTTTAGCTCGATTTAGGGTTAGCTCGTTCCCATCGGCTGCAGCTATGCCTCGTCTCCCATTACTCTGGATGGGCCTTGGGATGGCGGACAGTCGGGAGCCTTGGCCCGTGACAACGGGCGTCATCTGATTTAAAGGGGTCAAGTCAAGATGGATGATGAGATGAGACTACAAACGTGGGTTTTTGGCATAAAACATCCAAGTGAGTCTTTCGATGCATGTCTATTCACGTGTTGTCTTAGACGTCTTATCCCTTGTCTTGTCTTTCCTCTCAAGTCTAGCCTCTTGGGTCTATCCTATATAATTATGAAGACAACACTCATCTTAATTCATCACCAGCTTCAATGGCGCAGTGCCAAGATGAAACACTGTCCCAGCGCCAGCATTCCCAAACTCCGGACATATGGCCGTACTACTCCGTACTCTGCGTATAAGACAATACACAGATCTTCATCATCATCGTCATCATCATCATCACCACCACCACCACCACCACCACCACATACCGCACCCCCTCCCCCTTCCTCTCCAAAACAGCAAGGATAGACAAGGGACGTGCCGTCGGCGTTTGTTGGCACAAGGATGAAGGGGGACAGGAGACATGGGGCAGTGAGCATGGGTCCTAGGGCATGGAGGGGAGGATTGACCGGTTCTCCATTTCTCCATTTCTCCATTCACTATGCTCCAGGCTTGCTCCATGTCATTCATGCTCCCCTTGTTGCTAGTCCCTTGCCCCTTGTTCCACCCATGCTTCTAGTGCGTGGCCATCCGCCCATCCGCCCATCTGCTCAGGTCTGCAACCATGCTCCATTCCTCATGCATATCCCATCCATCATCCATTCTCCCACCCCACCACACATTATCCCATCCTCTTTTCATCCTTTCACCCCCCCCC